GACCTCAGGTGATCCACCTGCCTCGGCCTCCCAAAGTGCTTGGATTATAGGCATGAGCCACCGTGCCTGGCTCTTTTTTTCTTTTTTGCGACAGTTTTGCTTTTGTTGCCCAGACTGGAGTGGAATGGTGTAATCTCAGCTCTGTGCAACTTCTGCATCCTGGTTCAAGTGATTCTTCTGCCTCAGTCTCCCGAGTAACTGGGATTACAGGCGCGTGCCACCACACCTGGCTAATTTTGTATTTTTAGTAAGAGACAGGGTTTCACCACGTTGGTCCAGGCTGATCTCGAGCTCCTAACCTCAGGTGATCTGCCCACTTTGGCCTCCCAAAGTGCTGGGATTACAGGTGTGAGCCGCCACACCCGGCCTTTGTCACCTGCTTTTGAAGAATAACTTGGCCTTCTTGGTGGGATACGTAACTTTCCTCCCTTGACCTATTGATTCCAGCCCCTTGCTCTGCCATTTCTCCTTTTATGCAAGAGCTTGTAGTAATCCCTGAGTCAGCAAGAAGAGTCTCTTTAGAACATCTGGGAGGCAGCCTTAGTTTTTTTTTTTTTGAGACAGGGTCTCACTGTTGCCCAGTCTGGAGTGCAGTTGTGCGATCATGGCCTCACTGCAGCCTCAATCTCCCGAGATCAAGTGATCTTCCCACCTCAGCCTCCCAAGTAGCTGTGACTACAGGCGCTTGCCACCATGCCTGGCTAATTTTTTGATATTTATTTTTATTTATTTATTTATTTATTTATTTTTTGAGATGGAGTCTCGCTCTGTTGCCCAGGCTGGAGTGCAGTGGTGTGATCTCAGCTCACTACAAGCTCCACTTCCTGGGTTCACACCATTCTCCTACCTCAGCCTCCTGAGTAGGTGCGACTACAGGTGCCCACCACCACGCCCAGCTAACTTTTTATATTTTTAGTAGAGATGGGGTTTCACCATGTTAGCCAGGATGGTCTTGATCTCCTGACCTTGTGATTTGCCTCCCTTGGCCTCCCAAAGTGCTGGGATTATAGGCGTGAGCCACCTTGTCTGGCCCTGATATTTATTTTTTGTTGAGATAAGGTTTTGCCCTGTTGTCCAGGCTGATCTCAAATTCCTGGGCTCAAGAGATTCGCCCACCTTGGCCTCCCAGAGTGCTGGGATTACAGGCATGAGCCACTGTGCCCAGCTCCAGGCTTAGCTTTGTAAAAATGTTTCCTGTAGCAGGGAAGGTGGTGCTGTGGAGTCGTGAGGAGTCCCTGGCAGAAGTGGTGTGCCTAGAGATGGTGGACCTCCCCCTGACTGGGGCACAGGCCGAGCTGGAAGGAGAATTTGGCAAAAAGGCAGGTATGAACCTAAGAGGTTGGAGCTGCAGAGTTGCTGGAGGGGTCAGTCTGGAAATGACCACAAGAGACACCGTGTCATGCATCTCCGGTTTCCTGGGCTTGCCAGATTGCTAGTCTTTTCTGAACGAGCTCTGTGATGAGGTTCCAGTGCATTTGTGGCCATATGGTTTATGAAACCGTTCATTTCTGTGAAAGAATGAACTGTGAATCCTTCTGGGGAAAGCTAGGGAAAAATCACTCTAGAGAAAGCTGAGGGAAAAAGTCTTTTTTTTTTCCTTTTTTTCTTTTTTTGAGACAGAGTCTTGCTCTGTCACCCAGGCTGGAGTGCAGTGGCACAGTCTTGGCTCACTGCCATCTCCGTCTCCTGGGTTTAAGCAGTTCTCCTGCCACAGCCTCCTAAGTAGCTGGGTTTACAGGCGTGCGCCACCACGCCCGGTTAATTTTTGTATTTTTAGTAGAGACAGGGTTTCACCATGTTGGTCAGGCTGGTCTTGAACTCTTGACCTCATGATCTGCCTGTGTTGGCCTCCCAAAGTGTTGGGATTACAGGCGTGAGCCACTGCGCCTGGTGGGGAATAAAGTCTTAACTTGGTATAGTAATAGCTACCATTGCCTGTGTACTAAAAATTTACCAGGCACTGTATACTCATTGTCCCTAAAGCAGCAGCCACATCTGTCTGGAGACACGATTGGGTTGATCTGGGTATTGCGGAAATAGTCCAGTGCCCTTTAAAGCTGGCCATGGTCCCAACTGCCAGGATGAACTTGATTCACTCTGCTCTGATTCAGTCCTGCCCCCTGCCCTCTCTCTTCTGTCCATTCATCCAGCTCTCCAACGGATAGCTATTGAGGGCCTGCTGTGGACCAGGCACTCTGCTAGGCAATGCACATTTTCTTAAGCTGAGGATTAATTTGACTTTACTGTTTATTTCTGCTGCCTGGATCCAGCGATTCAAGGTAAAACCTGCTTCTTGCTGCCTTGTTGCTCATTGCCTGCTCACATGGCTAGCTTTTGGTTAATTGTTTTTCTTCTTAGCTTGGACCAATGAGGTACATCCTTGGTGGGGGGGTGTGTGTGTGTGTGTTGACTGCCATGCTTGTGACTTGTCCTGTTGCTTCTCACTTCTCTTCCTTGAGCAGAGGTGGGTGGAAAATAAAATAAGGAGAGGTTCTGCTCCTTTTTTATTAAGTGCTTACCATGTACCAGGCACCACACTAAATCCTTGATGTACATCGTATGATGTAATTTTCCAACAATCCAGTGGGTTACATGCCACTTTACAGATGAGGAACCGGAGGCAAAAAGGTGAAGTACCTTTCTCAAGGTTGCCCCATAGTGAGTGGTGAAGCTGGGATCTTAATTTGGGCCTGGCAGATTCCAGAGACCATGCTCTTTACCTTGCTTCCTTGCATCTGTGTCCAAATCTGTGGTCTCCAATGAGGAGATCTGGAGGGCAGTGGCTTCACTGATGGAATCAGGGAAAGAGTGAATGATGGTCCTGGGAACTCGTTGCAAATATGTCTGTTGGGTGCAGGTTAAACAGTTGACAAAGTAGGAATGAAGCAGTGGGAGATGGAAGTACCTGCTCATGATACACATTCATTGACCTGCACCCTCCACCCCCACACTCATACCTCTTCTGGCTTTGTCATGGCACCCAGAAACCTTCCTCTGGCATCTTGGATGTGGGGCTGTGGTGGAGACATTCACAGCATGGCTGCCTCCTGCATGCCTGATCCCTGACTTCCTAGTCTATTCCAAGATTCCAGCTGGGTTTAGTTGTAAGAGCCAGTTAAGTAGTTTTTGGAAGCTCCTGCATGAGCCTTACCTGAGTGTGAGACTATTGGCATCAGATATAGGACTGCCCTTTGGGCTTGTGGCCTAGAGTGTGGACTTTACCACTCCATAGGAGAGGCAGAGATCCCTCATTAGGAAAAGCATGTACCTCCTTCTGGACCCCTAGTCTGATGTAGAGTGGGTTACTTTTCCTTTAAACCAGATGGCTTGCTGGGGATGTTCCTGAAACGCCTCTCGTCTCAGCTTATCCTGCTGCAAGCATGGACTTCCCACCTCTGGAAAATGTTTTACGATGCTCGGAAGCCCCGAAGTCAGATTAAGAATGAGATCAACATTGACACCCTGGCCAGAGATGAATTCAACCTCCAGAAGATGATGGTGATGGTAACAGCCTCAGGCAAGGTGCGTGTGGTTTAGACTCCAGTTACTGAACCTTTTCAAGTTCTGAGGGTGAGGAACAAAAAGCCTTTGGTGGGGGATGACACTGGTTCTAGTTTTCAAGGACAGACTCAGTTCTTTGGTTTCTCTTTCTAGTAGTGAGCCAAGTATTTGTTTATCTTGCAGCTTTTTGGCATTGAGAGCAGCTCTGGCACCATCCTGTGGAAACAGTATCTACCCAACGTCAAGCCAGACTCCTCCTTTAAACTGATGGTTCAGAGAACTACTGCTCATTTCCCCCACCCCCCCCAGTGTACCCTGCTGGTGAAGGACAAGGTGAGGCATCCAGCTCTAACTTGAGCCAGACTCAGAGTGGCTTTTTTGCTATTTTGTAACTGAAATTGCTCCTAGGCCCTTGGAATTATGTGAGTTAATGAGGCACATTCAGGAGTTAGAACTCTTGTTTCTTCTAGTTTCATGCCTGGGTGGAGGAACCAGCCAGCACTGATGTGGAATTGTTTAGAAAGTGGGTGTGACTTCACCAGCTACATAGGGAGCCAGCTCTCCTCTTTTCTAAACATCGGCTGTTAGTAGCTGAGTGGCTATTTTCTCTTCTCTCTTTGAGGAAGAGCAGGATATTTTTGTGTCTTCCCAGAATTAGAATGGATTTTTGTGTATTTATTCTAGCACAGAAGGTGGGCTTGGTAGACACTTTCTTGGAATGGCTGCCTGGTGCAATTTTGGCTCACTGCAGCCTCCACTTCCCAGTTTCAAGCGATTCTTGTGCCTCAGCCTCCCAGGTAGCTGGGATTACAGGCGCATGCCATCATGCCTGGCTGATTTTTGTATGTTTAGTAGAGACGGGGTCTCACCATGTTGAGATGGTCTCACCATTCTCTACAAAAAATAAAAACAGAATTAGCCACATGTGGTGGTTTGTGCCTGTAGTCCCAGCTACTTGGGAGGCTGAGGTGGGAGGATCGCTTGAACCTAGGAGGTAGAGGTTGCAGTGAGCCTTGATCATGCCACTGCACTTCCAGCATGGGTGACAGAGTGAGACCCTGTCTCAAACAAAAAAGAACTGGCAGAGACAGTTTGACTTTTTCCTTTGTGACGTTAGCCTAGGGGACTATTCACCTATAGCCGAGAACTTATTTTCCACAAAGAGGGCAAAGACTAGGGAACCCCACAGTTGCTGAGCTGGAGTCCCAGCTCTTCAGGTCTATCCCTAGGATTTGCAGTCTTTTCTTGTTGGTGGAGCCTGACAGTTTGCTCATTTTAGGAGTCGGGAATGAGTTCTCTGTATGTCTTCAATCCCATTTTTGGGAAGTGGAGTCAGGTGGCTCCCCCAGTGCTGAAGCGCCCCATCTTGCAGTCCTTGCTTCTCCCAGTCATGGATCAAGACTACGCCAAGGTGTTGCTGTTGATAGATGATGAATACAAGGTACTGTGTTCAGAGGGGATGGAGAACATGCTAGTGGAGTCGGGTTTGGGGCCAAGTGGTCAAACACAGCAGCCCAGAGATGGAGTGCTCTCTGCACCCAGCACGTGTTTGGGCTCTAAGGCCATCCTGAAGAGAAATGATGGCTGTGTCTGCATTTGTGAAAACTCAGGTTCTTAACAGAACTGAATGTACACCCTAAACTGAGTTCACTAGACTCGAATTCTTTTAAGATTTGCTGTTTTATTCTTAAGGCTCTCTTTGATGGGGAAGTTTCCTAACTCTTTCCTTGGGCTCTCTGGGTTTTTCAAGGTCACAGCTTTTCCAGCCACTCGGAATGTCCTGCGACAGCTACATGAGCTTGCCCCTTCCATTTTCTTCTATTTGGTGGATGCGGAGCAGGGACGGCTATGTGGATATCGGCTTCGAAAGGTGGGAAGGCATGTCCTGGCATGACCCTTTGTGGATGAGATGCAGGTGTTTCCTGGCCATTTGGCTAAGAAGTGAATTATGCTACTCATTCTACTATAAACTTAGATTAGCGTAATCCTGATGTCTGATACAAAGTCAATCATTTGTTCATGTTTGTTGGGCAGCTACTACATGGCAGGTATGGTTCTAGGTGCTGTGGACAGAGTGGTGCACAGTAGACCAAATCTCTGCCCTTATGGAGCTTTCATTCCACATTCTTTTTCTTTTTTTTTGAGACGGAGTCTCGCACTGTCGCCTGGGTTGGAGTGCAGTGGCGCGATCTCGGCTCACTGCAACCTCCACCTCCTGGGTTCAAGCGATTTTCCTGCCTCAGCCACCCAAGTAGGTGGGATTACAGGCATGCGCCACCACGCCTGGCTAATTTTTTCTATTTTTAGTAGAGACAGGGCTTCAGTGTGTTGGCCAGGATGGTCTCAAACTCCTGACCTTGTGATCCACCTGCCTCGGCCTCCCAAAGTGCTGGGATTACGGCGTGAGCCACTGCACCCGGCCACATTCTTTTTCTATAGCAGAGAGATGGGACTTTTTTTCCATTCTTGGGAGAGTAGAAGGTAGGAATGTGGGTTGAGTAATAAGTTGTACTTTTATATGAAGATGATGTTGACCAACTCATGATAGAATGTGTGCTTTGAATTTTATTTCTAGAAAGGGGGTCAGTTTGCTTTAATCCTCACATACTTGAGACCAACTCTTGTAAACAGTGATACAAGCTGGCTCTGAAGTCCAGCTCTGAAGTTCTTGAGGGGCTGGCATGGCCTTGTTAGCAGGACTGTTTGGAGAAGCACTCTGTGGTGTGCACTCACAAACAGCTCTCCCATCCTGTCCTGTAAGGCCTTTTGAGAGGCGTAGAATTTAAGAGCTTAGACCCAATTTGCTGGATTTGAAGCCTAGGTTTGTCACTTACTAACTCTGTGACCTTGGACTCTGGCCTTCTGTTTTCTTAGCTGTAAAATAAGGTGATAAATACCTGTCTCAAAAGGTTGTTGTGAGAATTCAACATATAAATCGCAGAAGACTGCCTGGCACATGGTAAATGCCATCTGAGTTGGAGACGCTGTTGTTTTGAAAATGCAGTGCCCTTTTGTGACATTTGTAACAGCTAACCTTAGCAGAAACGGCACTGGAAATGGTCTGCCCAGAAGACACATCCTTTACCCTTGTGAATGAAAAAAAAAAATCGTCCTTCTGAGTTAATAAAATGAGGACCTTGAAAGAGACAGTTTTGTAGATTCAGGGGAGTGAACTGGAGTGTGGGTGTCATGAATCCAGAGTCTTGAGGACATCATCTGAGTGAACAATGACAAAGGAAGACAAAGGGGGCAGAGCTGTCTGTGGGAAGTGAGCCAGGTGTGCGCATGAGTCCTGGACCACAAGGGAGTGTACTGCCTTTGCCCTCACTTGGTGACCTTCCTCTCTGGGGATGTTTTAGTGAGTTCTCATGTTTTCAAAGAAGGTTGTGGCAGTGAAGTCTTATTATTAATAACTTTTGTTATTTTAAAAATTTAGGTAATACACGAGTATATTCTCATTGTAAAAGAGTCCATTGATACAGAGAGGTGAACAAGCAAAATGTGAACAGACTCTTGTAGCCCCATTTCCAGCAGTCTTCCCTTCCCCGGGTGGAAAGCCTGTCAGCAGTTTGCTGTGCCTCTTTCCACTGTCCTTGTGTATTTATGATTCCATATCAACAGCTGTGTGGACACACATGTGTGGCTCATACTTTTTTTTTTTTTTTTTTTTTGAGACAGAGTCTCGCTCTGTCACCCAGACTACAGTGCAGGGGCGTGATCTCAGCTCACTGCAACCTCTGCCTCCTGGGTTCAAAGCGATTCTCCTGCTTCAGCTTCCCAAGACTACAGGTGCACGCCACCACGCCCGGCTAATTTTTGTATTTTCAGTAGAGATGGGGTTTCACCATGTTGGCCAGGCTGGTCTCAAACTCCTGACCTCAAGTGATCCTCCTGCCTTGGCCTCTGAAAGTGCTGGGATTACAGGTGTAAGCCATTGCACCCGGCCTGTTTTTTTTTTTTCTTACTCACATGGAATTGACCTATATTTATTCTTATGAAATTTGCTTTTTTCATTTAATGGGTTTTTTACCTCATTATTTTGTCACCTTCAGTTTTTTATTACAGAAAAATATTGACAAAAGTGCAAAATCATGAGGTATGGCTCAGTGAGCCCTCACCAAGGGAATACACTTGTGTGCCTGGTAATCACATCAGGAAACAGAACAGCACCAGCTCCTAGAAGGCCCTTTTGCCCTTTGCCAGTAACTACTTCCTGTCTCCACGCCCAAGTGCTCCGCATAATTCCATAGGATGGATGTGTAATAATATATTTAATCATGAGTGTTTATTGGTTGGTTTCCTATGACCATAAAGAATCATACACGAGATGTTTTGAGGTCCCTGTTAGCTTAGACATTCACTGCTGGCCCTAGTATACGGGCATCTTGGAGTTTAGTAATAAATGGTAAATTTTCCTTGCATATTTCCTGCTCAGATAAACAACGGGATACTACTGAGCATTCGCCTCCTTTCCTACTGGCTTTATTATCTTTTTTTTTTTTGAGCCGGAGTTGCCCAGGCTGGAGTGCAATGGCTGTAGTCTTGGCTCACTGCAACCTCCGCCTGCTAGGTTCAAGCAATTCTCCTACCTCAGCCTCCTGAGTAGCTGGGATTACAGGCATGCACCACCATGCCTGGCTAATTTTTTATTTTTAGTGGAGATGGGGTTTCTCCACGTTGGTCAGGCTGGTCTCAAACTCCCGACCTCAGGTGATCCACCCGCCTCGGCCTCCCAAAGTGCTGGGATTACAGGTGTGACCCACTGTACCTGGTCTAGTATCTATCTTAATCAAACTGAGAGTTCTGAAATTTCTTCATAAACTAGATCTCTATTGCCATTTTTCTAGTTTGTTTTATTTTTGAGTCTTGCTCTGTCACCCAGGCTGGAGTGCAGTGGCGTGATCTCAGCTCACTGCAGCCTCTGCCTCAGCCTCCTGAGTGGCCAGGATTATAGGTGCCCACCACCACATCCGGCTAATTTTTTGTAAGTTTAGCAGAGATGGGGTTTGGCTTTCTTGGCCAGGCTGGTCTTGAACTCCTGACCTCAAGTGATCCACCCACCTTGGCCTCCTAAGTGTGGGGATTACAAGTATGAGCCACTGCTCCTGGCTCATTTTTCTAGTTCTGATCTCTGTTCCTTCCTGCACAAAGGCCTCAAATAATGAACTGTAGGATGGGTCTAACTCTAGCTGTTTCAGTTCTTTGTGTCCCCGCCCTAGGATCTCACCACTGAGCTGAGTTGGGAGCTGACCATTCCCCCGGAAGTACAGCGGATCGTCAAGGTGAAGGGGAAACGCAGCAGTGAGCACGTTCATTCCCAGGGCCGTGTGATGGGGGACCGCAGTGTGCTCTACAAGGTACGTACAGCCAGCTGTCTGGTATACAGCAAGGGCTTTTGAATCAGGAAAACAAGGGCTTCAAGTCTGGCTGTAGGACTTGGTAGATATATGACTTTGAGTAAGTCATTTAATCCCTTTGAGCCTTAATTTTTGTTTGTGAAGTGGGGATAATATACCCTCTTCCTAGGCTTGTTGTGATGATCACATGAGATATTCATGCCTAGCCCAGTGCCTAGCATATGGTAAGTAAGCAACAGATGTTAGCTCTTATTTTTTGGACCTTTTTGTTTTGTTTCCTGAGACAGAGTCTTGCTTGTTGCCCAGGCTGGAGTGCAGTGATGCGGCCATGGCTCACTGCAGCTCCGTCGTCCTCCTGGGCTTACACGATCCTTTCACCTTGGTCTCCCAAGCAGTTGGGACCATAGGCACATGCCATGTTAATTTTTTAAAAAAGGCTGGGCTTGGTGGCTCATGCCAGTAATCCCAGCATTTTGAGAGGTCGAGGCAGGTGGATTACTTGAGTCCAAGAGTTTGAGACCAGCTTGGGCAACGTGGCTGAAACCTTGTCTTTACCCCCGCAAGAAAAGTAAAAAAAATACAATTAGCTGGGCATGGTGGTGCATGCCTGTAGTCTCAGCTACTCGGGAGTCTGAGGTAGGAGGATCACCTGAACCTGGGGAGGTCGAGGCTACAGTGAGCTGCAGTTGTGCCACTGCACTCCAGTCTGGATGAGAGTGAGACCCTGTCTCCAAACAAACAAAAAAAAATTTTTTTTTTAACTTTTTATTTTCTGTAGAAGATAGAGATCAACCTAGGGAACATAGTGAAACCCTGTCTTCAAAAAAAAAAAAAAAAAGCTTTTAAAAAATTTCTTATTTTTGTATTGACAGGGTCTCACTATGTTGCCTAGGCTGGTCTCTATCTCCTGGCCTCAGGCAGTTCTCTTACCTCAGCCTCCCAAAGTGTTGGGATTAGAGACTTGAGCCACTGTGCCTAGCCCAGCTCTTATTACTAGTGGTAGTACTGACAGAGCATTCTGGGGTTAAACCATAGTCGAGCCATCAGAAACTCCATCTCTGTGATCCAACACTCTAATTAGTGTTAAAGAGAGGGAGATTGAGGTGACTAGTGGGCTGCAAAACTGTTGTGGGAGAGAATGTAATCACAGTAGTAATGCACATTAATTACACCCTCTGGTACAGCAGAGACTGAGTAGAGACTGAGTTGGAGGGGGTGTCATAGAATAGAGTAGCGAGATCACGGAACTTGATGGTAAAGCCGGATCACTAAGCATGATCCAGTGCAACACAGTGCAAGCCTCTAGTTTGGCTGTCAAGTTAAGACGTGGCTCTGCCATGGCCTAGCTCTTCATCTCTTAGGCTGTCTGAGCTTCCATTTTTCCCCAGTATAATGGAGTGCAGTGGTGCGATCACAGTTTATTGAAGCTTTGACCTCCCGGGCTGAAGCAGTTCTCCCATCTCAGCCTCCTAAGCAGCTGGGACAACAGGTGCATGTCACCATGGCTTATTTTATTTTCTTTCTTTTTTCTTTTTTTTTTTTTGAGATGGAGTCTCACTCTGTCGCCAAGCTGGAGTGCAGTAGCACGATCTCGGCTCACTGCAGCCTCCACGTCCCAGGTTCAAGCGATTCTCCTGCCTCAGCCTCCCGAGTAGCCAGGACTACAAGCGCGTGCCACCATGCCCAGCTAAATTTTGTATTTTTAGAGATGGGGTTTCACCATGTTGGCCAGGATGTTCTTGATCTCTTGACCTCATGATCTGCCCGCCTCGGCCTCCTGAAGTGCTGGGATTACAGGCGTGAGCCACTGTGCCCGGGCAGTTATTTTATTTTCTTTAGAGATGAGGTCTTGCTGTGTTGTCCAGATTGGTCTTGAACTCCTGGGCTCAAGTAATCCTCCCATCCTGGCCTCCCAAAGTGTTGGGATTACAGGTGTGAGCCACTGCACCCGGCCAACAGCAAGTATTTTTTTAGTGCTAGTTGGATGCAGGCACTCATTTACACACTGGGATATAAAATGGGCAAAATAGACAAAACTTCCTGACCTTGTGAGGCTTTCATCATAGTTGGGTGAGGCTAATAATAAAGAAAATAAATAGGTAAATTAGATAGTGTATTAGAAAGTGACCAGTTCTATAGAGAAAAATAAAGCCGGGAAGAGGGAAAGCGAGTAGTGTAAATTGGGTGGCTAAGGAGGGGCTTAGTGAGAAAGTGGCATGGAGTGAGTGGACTTGAGTGAGGAAGTGAGTTGTGTGGATAGCTGGGGGGAGAGCCTTCCAGAGAGAAAAGTCAGAGCGCTTCTGGTGTGTGTGAGAAACAGCAAGGAAGGCTAGGTGACTAGAAGATGATGAGTGAGGAGGCATGTCAGGCCTGCTGAAGGCAGAGGGCAACAGGGCCAGATCACAGGCCACCACCGTGCCTTCACTTTGGAGCGCGGTGAAGAGCCACTGGGAAGTTTTCAGCAGAGGAGTGACATCAGTGACTTGAGATTCCACAGGTTCATTTGACCTAGATGAGACTGTAGACGGGTGAGGAGGAAAGCAGACCATTTAGGCTGTGGGATCATCCAGGTGCTGATGGTGGCTGGAGCTGTGCTGGTAGCACGGAGGTGGGAAGGAGGGATCAGATTCTGGGTACTTTTGAAGGTAGAGCCAAGAGCGAGTATATGTGTGTTACAGAGAAAGGAGTCAAGGATGACTCGAGGCTTTAGGTCTGAGTCACTGATGTATGGAGTCACCACTGGCTGGGGAGGAGACCGGAGCAGATTTTAGGCAGGGGTTAGAACAGTTCAGTTTGGGCCATGTTAAGTTTCAGATGAGACATCTGAGAAAAGATACTGAGATAGTTTCTTAGTGAAGTCTGGAGTTCAAAGGAGTGTCTGGTTTGGATACATACATTGGGCATTGCCAACATCCATAAATGGTGTTCAAGCCATGAGATTGGCTTGAGATAGACCACCATGAGGGTGAGCGTGATGGAAATGCTTAAGGCTTGAGAGCTTCCTGGTGTGTTCCACCATGAAGAAACTGGGGAGATGTGGAAGAACCTCCAAAAGAATCTGAGAAGGAGAGGCCAGTAAGGTAGAAGGAGTGCTGGGCAGGGATGTTCTGGAATCCAGGTGAGAAAATGTCACAGGGAGGTAGTGATCACCTGCGTCACGTGGTACTAGTGGGTCAGATAAGATGAGGGCCAAGACTTAGCCACTGGATTTAGCGATGGGGAGGGTGGTGGTGACCCTGAGAAGAAAAATATCACTGCAGCATTTGTCCCTAGGTCAATGAGTGGGCAGACCTGGATTTTATCTAGGGTTACTGTATGCTCTCTGAGACTTGAGAAGCTGCTTAACTACTTTGAGACTTTTCTGCAAAATGTGGATCATAATAGCTACTCTGCAAGATTGTTTACGGGATTAGATAAAATACAAGGTACCTGGCATGGCACCCAGTACCCAATGCACATAAAACAAGTGCAGTGATGAGAAACTCCAAACAGGAAGCTCTTTTCACCAGAAACCCTGATTCCTCTGCCAGGCTGGAGAGCTCCAGGTTGGTCTCACAGCACAGGAATGGAGTGTGTGATGAGTCATCGTGGTTCTAAGGGAGCTTTTCTCTCTCTCTCCAGAGCCTGAACCCCAACCTGCTGGCTGTGGTGACGGAGAGCACAGACACACATCATGAGCGCACCTTTATTGGCATCTTCCTCATTGATGGCGTCACTGGGCGTATCATCCACTCCTCTGTGCAGAAGAAAGCCAAGGGCCCTGTCCATATCGTGCATTCAGAGAACTGGGTGGTGGTAAGCAGTCACTACCAGGGACACAAGGTAGCTCCAGAGGTCTCCCTGCTTCCTGAGTCCTTTCCAGAAACCCAGTTGCTGCTTTGGTTTTCTTAGGATCTCAAATTCCCTGGATGGCAGCAAAGCGTGCTGGTTAGGGCGCTAGGCTCAGGAATCAGACTGCTAGGTTTGATCCTACCTCTTCTATTTCCTGACTGTATAACCTCGAACTAGTTATGTATACGCTCTGTGTTGCATCATTGGTAAAATAGGGATAATAAGTCACCTTCAGTCTAGCAAAGAACAATGCCTGGCACTTAGTAGTGATTCAAAGGTTAGTTACTATTATGGCTTCTAAGGATCTTGAGAATTTTCTTTGTTTTCTGGTGAACTTTGGATAGCCTAGATAAAAATACTTTGAAAGTTAGTAAACTTGGTAGTAAGGAAGAAAAGTGAGGTGCTAGTTGATGGCTTTCCTTCGTGGATCTGTAGCTAATTAGAAAGGTGCCTTCCAGTGCAATTTCCCTTTCCAGTTGAAGCAGCTGGGAAGCCCTGAGCTGCCTCCTCCTATCCCTGCAGTACCAGTACTGGAACACCAAGGCTCGGCGCAATGAGTTTACCGTACTGGAGCTCTATGAGGGCACTGAGCAATACAACGCCACTGCCTTCAGCTCCCTGGACCGCCCCCAGCTGCCCCAGGTCCTGCAGCAGTCCTATATCTTCCCATCCTCCATCAGTGCCATGGAGGCCACCATCACCGAGCGGGGCATCACCAGCCGACACCTGCTGAGTGAGTGCATGGGGAGCCTCTGGGATGGCTGGGTTCCCTTGGGCAACCACCCTGAAGGACAGAGCAAGGGACACATTGCTGGCAGAACCCTGTTGAACCACCTGTAAGGGAAAGGTGGTGAGGAGGGCTATATATCGGTGGAAGAAGTTTATTAGTTCATCTTTGCCACCTATGAAGGTGACCACTTCTCTCTCAGTCCTCATCTTTTTTTTTTTTTTTTTTGGAGACAGAGTCTCACTCTGTCACCCAGGCTGGAGTACAGTGGTGTGATCATGGCTCACTGCAGCCTCAACCTCCCGAGCTCACCTGGCTAATTAAAACAATTTTTTTTTTTGTAGAGATGGGGTTTTGCCATGTTGCCGAGGCTGGTCTAGAACTCCTGGGCTCTGATGATTCTCCTGCCTTGGCCTCCTGAAGTGTTGGGATTACAGGTGTGAGCCATTGTGCCTGGCCTTTAGTCCTCATTTCTGATATACCACCTCTCTATTTGGCATTTTCACCTAGCTCAAAAAGTCAATTCCAGATAGCATTCTTAACATAGCTAGCCTGTGCTGACAGGTTACAGAAACTGGCAGGGTCTGTTGCCCAGGCTGGAGTGCAGTGGCACGATCTTGGCTCACTGCAACCTCCACCTCCTGGGTTCAAGTGATCCTCCTGCCTCAGCCTCCCAAGTAGCTGGCATTACAGGCACCCACCACCATGCCTGGCTACTTTTTGTATTTTTAGTAGAGATGGGGTATTGCCATGTTGGCCAGACTGGTTTTGAACTCCTGACCTCAAGTGATCCGCCTGCCTCGGCCTCCCAAAGTGTTGGGATTACAGGTGTGAACCACCGTGCCAGCTCTAAAATCTCATCCTTATGTAACCTAAGCCCAGGACTTAAGACACAGTGGTTAACAGGTTCCTGTGTTTAGTTGATTTTACCAAAGATGTTTGGGACTCAGATCTGATGGGCACTTGGCATTACTGTTGCTTTTTTTTTTTTTTTTTTTTGAGATGGAAGCTTGCTCTGTCACCGAGACTGGAGTGTAGTGGCACGATCTCAGCTCACTGCAACTTCCGCCTCCCTGGTTCAAGCGATTCTCCTGCCTCAGTCTGCTGAGTAACTGGGACTACAGGCGTGTGCCACTATGCCCTGCTAATTTTTTGTATTTTTAGTAGAGATGGGGTTTCACCGTGTTAGCCAGGATGGTCTCGATCTCCTGACCTCGTGATCTGCCTGCCTCGGCCGCCCAAAGTGCTGGGATTACAGGCATGAGCCACCACACCTGGCCTATTGTATTCTTAAATTCTACAGAAGCCAGCCCTGTAGGCAGTTTATCAGCTTTAATCACCATTACTGAAACTGGTGCTATGATCGATCATGCTTGGTCCTCCAGTCTTCCCTGGCCACTGTACTGCAGCTGCATAAACAGCTGCGTTTGCTCAACGGGAAGGAGACTCCCTGCTGGGGGAGGTATTGGAGGGAAGGGCCATGAGGAAATCCAAGTCGCCTTCTACATTTTTCTCTTTCATCATTATCCATATCTTGATTCTAGAACTTTATTTTCTGGTATCTCGGAATGTTAAGAAGCTAGTGTCTTCAAAAGTGAGAACCTTCATTCAGACCCATGCATATTATTGGATTATTATTTTTGGCTATGTAAGGGAGCCTCATTTACCCACTTTTTTGTTTTAAACTCTTGTTTAAATTTCTGCAATAATGACATTTTTGTAACCCACTTGCTGGACACTGGATCGGTGTGAACATTCACTTCTTCCTGTGTAGTTGGACTACCTTCTGGAGCAATTCTTTCCCTTCCTAAGGCTTTGCTGGATCCCCGCCGCCCCGAGATCCCAACAGAACAAAGCAGGTGAGACCCTCGTGGGCGGTGCTGAAGGCTCTGACCTTACGGAACTTAACCTCACTGATTAAGCTTGGTTCTCAGTCTCCGTGTGCCTTCATGCTATGCTAGGGGCCGGGGATGTAGCAGGGGGCAAGTCTGAAAAAGTCACCTGCCGTCATGGAACTTACAGTCTGCTGGGAAATGGGCAATACATAAATAAATAAATAAGATAAGCAAGTAAAATACACACTATGTTAGGTACTCAAATGCTAAGGAGAGTAAAACAGGAATGAGCTAGGAAGTGGGGACGGGGATGTGCATGGGTATAATTTGAGAGGCGGCCTGGGAAAGCCCCTTTGAGAAGGTGCATTTTGAGTGAAGGCCTGAAGGAGATGAAGGAGCTAGCTGTGTAGATATCTGAGGAAGAACTTTCTAGGCAGAGGGAACAGGCAATGCAAATCCCCTGAGATCATGTCTGGTGAGTTTGCAGAGGGCAACGCTAGGAAATGAGATCACTGAGGTAATTGGGGCCAGATCATGTGGGCAAGCCAGTAACTTGTTCACTGTTGGTATTGTTGTATTAACAGCCACCATCCTGTCGGGTTTTCTTACCTCCATCCTCAATTTCTTTACCTAGGGGCATGAGGAATGGAGAGAAGTATATGAGAGACAGGAGGTTAAAACTAGGAAGACACAGGATGATAATCAGGTTTCAGAGAAATGGGGACCAAGAGGCACCCTGGAGTGGAGAACAGGAATTAGCTTAGTGGTTCAGTGTGTTGGTTTTAAAATGGTCGGCTTTCCTCTTGTGGTGTGAAATGCCAGTCGTGTGTATGTCCTTTCTTTTCAGATTTAGAACAAAGTAGGAATCTAGATCTCAGTCTTACTCTCCAGAGAGCTTCCTTTCTTGTAGTCCTTCCTAACATTCAGCTGCTAAATTTTTAACTACCTAATGCAAGTAGACCTCCTAGGAGATTTGAGGCTAGATATATGTAGGCTGGAAACCTTCCAGGACTCAGGAAGGGCAGCCAAGAGATCCCTTTACAGCAGTGCTCAGACTGCCTGTCCCGGCTGGTGTTTTGCAGAGAGGAGAACCTAATCCCGTATTCTCCAGATGTACAGATACATGCAGAGCGATTCATCAACTATAACCAGACAGTTTCTCGAATGCGAGGTATCTACACAGCTCCCTCGGGCCTGGAGTCCACTTGTTTGGTAAGTAGGGCCCACAGCTACCCTGTTTCACCTTTGGTGGATCATTGGTTGTTTCTTCCCTAATTCTTATTCCATCTGCCTTCCAGGTTGTGGCCTATGGTTTGGACATTTACCAAACTCGAGTCTACCCATCTAAGCAGTTTGACGTTCTGAAGGATGACTATGACTACGTGTTAATCAGCAGCGTCCTCTTTGGCCTGGTTTTTGCCACCATGATCACTAAGAGACTAGCACAGGTGAAGCTCCTGAATCGGGCCTGGCGATAAAGACCAAAGACTGTGCCTAAAAGTGGAAGCCAGGGGAGTGTGGGTCAGAAAAGCAGCTACAGCTGCAGTTTGGTGGATTGGTGGAGTGTGTGTGTGTGTGTGTGTGTGTGTGTGTGTGTCAGTGTGTCAGTGCTCAGCTCAGTTAAGAGCTGCAGGGAAGAAGATGGATGACCTCCACGTAGAACTCCTTTTGGGATACACATGCTGCAGAATCCTGCATGGAGAGAGAACTCACTCTCAGCTGAGAATCTCAGAGAATCCTGATGGGCTTTCCCTTGAAGTCCAAAGGCCTCTGCATTGTTTCCTTTCTTTGCCCATCCATGAATTGTATTTTTTTTTTAAATAAGAATTCCAGCTGATTGTTGTGAGGCCTGTTTAAATTTTTACTCTGCCTTTTGTGTTTCCCAGTTTTATCTAGAAATCTTTCTGACTTTTTCCATCTCTTGCTTCAAAGTAAGAGGGGAACTCTCCTTCCCGACTCCACCTTACAGGTGCATTTGTTGTTGTGCACTGGGAAGAAATAGGATCCATCCTTAGCTGGGGCTCGAGGACTGATCCAGCCTCTCATGGCTTCCCTCCAAAGTAACTTAGGGTTGAGGGATCTATATGTGATGTCAAAACTTACGTTAAACCTCAGTTTCATGCTGTCATTCATTAGGCTGGGCCACCAAATGTTTGTTTCAATTTATCAGAAGCCAAGTCATTAGCGTCTTGTTTGTTGCCCATTGCCTACACTTTTCACCTGAGATGTGTGAGTTGGGGCCTTTTAAAAACTACTGAATTGTCTGAGCCTCGAAGACATTTCCAGGGAGAAGAGATAATCTCTCATTTCACTCACAGGCTGGTCTAATCATAACCTATTTAAAGATGTCCTTGTTTAAGAACCCCATTATTTATTTTTAGTTTTTAATATAAATTAACATGTGGGGCATCGTATTTCTCTTTAAATGAGGAAATTTTAAGTCTTATTGATCTTAAATAAGACTTAAAATAAGTCTTATTTAAACCTTTGAAGCTTTAAAAAAGAGGAAAAAAAGGGTGGGGGTGGGAAACTGGCATACTGTTTATAGCACTGCCGAGTGGCTAAGCCACTGTGTCTCTGCTACAAATTAAAGAAATCCTAAAAGTTTTCCTTGGTCATAGAGTTGGGGAATGACAGAATTTTTCTTTACTGTGAAATGTATGTACAGAGTAGACCACCTCTAGCCCTGTGGCGAAAGAGGTACACTCGAATGTCTGAATAAAGCAAGTGACCAATGACATGTTTAAGTCCTCTTTTGTGTCTTAGAAGATCACTTTGAGGCTATTTTCACATTAGAGGGGATAAAAGCAGTGAAGACCTAAAGTAAGTGTATTTTATTTTAGTAAGGAAACGTGTCAGTTTAATCATATATGGGTTGGTCAGGTTATCTAAAAATTTGTCATCTTTCTGTGGTCATATGCTGATGGCAGAGAAGGAAGAGGAAATGACAACCATTTTATTAATTGTCAATTTGATATTGAGTGACTGAACGTGTAGGAATCTCCAGAAAAAAACCGACATCTATCATCCTGACCCAAGGCATATTTTAACATAACCTGGGAGAAGAGAGTAGGTACAAGTTAAAAAAATCTGCCCTAGTTTTGAGATAGCCTGGCTGGAATTCTGACTGTCTTTCATACATATGTGCAACGTTAGCCTGCAAGATTCTAGTTTTTATTCACCAGTGTGCCAGAATCTGAAACAAGCTAATGGGAGGGAAGTTATTTGTCCTTTTGTCCTTTAGTAAAATTCCCTGTATTTCAGCTGTAATCAAAGTTACCTCAAAGAAGTGTTTTTTTTTTTTTTTTTTGAGATAGAGTCTCACTTTGTTGCCCAGGCTGGAGTGCAGTGGCACAATCTCGGCTCACTGCAACCTCCACCTCCCAAGCAGCTGAGACTATAGGCGCGTGCCACCACGCTCGGCTAATTTTTTGTATTTTTAGTAGAGACGGGGTTTCACTGTATTGGCCAAGCTGGTCTTGAACTCCTGGCCTCAAGTGATCCGCTGGCCTTGGCCTCCCAAAGTGCTGGGATTACAGGTGTGAGCCACCCCGCCTGGCCAAGTGCTTAAAATAGTTAATGCTAATGCCACAGTCCAATTTAAATCTTTTCTTAGTTCTCAACTTTCCTTAATCTTAAAGCAGCATTCGGTTCTGAGCAGCTATGCTTAGTCTCCACCAATGGCTGCTGAGACTGTATCTTTCCTCTCTCAATTCTCTGATCTATTTGCTTTCTTGTCATTCCTTGTTTTTTTTTGTGTGTGTATTCCTTGACTTACCTCTTCTCCTGTCTTCATTAATTAGGTTAACTTTGGGGCCCCCTACAACATTTCACTTAAAGAGATCTGGCTGGGCGTGATGGCTCATGCCTATAATCCCAGCATTTTGGGAGGCCATAGTGGAGGATCTCTTGAGCCCAGGAGTTCCAGACCAGCCTGTGCAACATAGCAAGACCCTATCTACAAAAAGTTTTTAAAAAATTAGCCAGGCCTGGTGGCATGTGCCTGTGGTCCTAGCTACTCAGGAGGCTGAGGTGGGAGGATCGCTTGAGCCTGGGAGGTCGAGGCTGCAGTGAGCCATGAACATGCTACTGCACTTCAGCTTGGGCAACGGTGAGACCCTGTCTCAAAAAACAACAAAAAAAAAACAAACAAAAAAACAAAAACTAATTTGTTTTAGTATTCATTACGTATATGAGCACTGGTAGTCTAGTGTTGGTTCTTGTACACAATGTTTTCTTGAATGAGATGATGCTGTTTAATTGTTACTTGTTTTTTCAACTAATGGATCTTTTAAAGTTTTTTATTTAAATTTTTTCTGGGTACATGGCATATATACTTACGGGGTACATGAGATGTTTTGATAAGGGCTCAACTAATGCATCTTGAATATCATGTATTCATAAAGATGACTGAAATACTTTCTGGAACAAAGTCTAATAGAAAAAATACTCAATTCCTAAATTTAAGAGACTTTAATGTAAGCTACCTAATCTTAACTAGTTTCATTATTTGCGTGTGGGTACAAGTTATGTGCTCTGTAAGGCATCTTTCAATTTGAAAATTTCAGAATTGTAATTTCATTGCCTTTATAAATTGCTTTTTTTTTTTTTTTTTTTTTTTTTGAGGCAGGGTCTCTGTCACCCAGGCTGGAGAGCAGTGGCACAGTCATAGCTCACTGCAGCCTTCAACACCTGGCTCAAGTGATCCTCCCTCCTCAGCCTCAAAAAATGCTGGGATTACAGGCATGAGCTACTGCACCTGGCCCATAAATTGCTATACTGTTGAAGAGTCTATTACACAAGGTATCATCAGAATCATCCCAAGACTCATTTCCTGATTCCTAATTATTTAAAATTTTGCTTGTAGGCAAGGCATAGTGACTCACGCCTATAATCCCAGCCCTTTGGGAGGCCAAGGCAGGCAGATCATTTGAGATCAGGAGTTCGAGACCAGTCTGGCCAACATGGTGAAACCTGAAACCCCCATCTCTACCAAAAATAAAAATAAAAAAAAAATTAGCCAGGCATGGTGGTGGGTGCCTGTAATCCCAGCTACTTGGGAGGCTGAGGCAGGAGAATCACTTGAACCCGGGAGGCGAAGGTTGCAGTAAGCCAAGATCATGCCTCTGCACTCCAGCCTGGGCGACACAGTGAGACCCTGTCTCAAAAATAAATAAATAAAAAATTGCTTTTAAATCATGAAGCTATTGTTTACTTGGAATGTTTTCTTCCCTGCTTAAAATCTGGCTTGTCTCAAATCTGAACTCCTCCATAAAGTCTTCCCTATTGGTTTCAGCTACTCAGGACCTTCAACCATCCTGGCTGCTCACCACGTAACTTCCTGAGTATACACCGCACCCTTTATTGTTTCAGATATTGTGTCTCTCAGGGACTGCTGCACTGTTTTCTGAATTCCCTATTATCCCAGACACGAAGTTGCTTCTCGACAAATAGTTCCCCAAATGGCTGTACCTTCTCACAGAACCCTTAGGAACTTTGTCCTCAGTTTCCCAAATTTCTAAGACTTCGGTGACTTAGTAAGGGAATTTTTTTCCTTTTTTTTTCTTTTTTGTTTTGAGACAGAGCCTCACTCTGTCTCCCAGGCTGGAGTGCAGTGGCTTGATCTCGGCTCACTGTAGTTTCCACCTCCCGGGTTCAAGAAATCTTCCTGCCTCAGCCTTCTGAGTAGCTGGGACCCCAGGAATGTGCCACCATGCCCGACTAATTTTTGTATTTTTAGTAAAGATAGGGTTTCACCATGTTGGCCAGGCTGGTCTCGAACTGCTGACTTCAGGTGATCCACCTGTCTGGCCTCCCAAAGTGCTGGGATTACAGGCATGAGCCACCGTGCCTGGCCCCATTAATTCTTTTTTTTTTTTTTTTTTTTTTTGAGACAGAGTCTTGCTCTGTCGCCCAGGTTGGAGTGCAGTGGCGCAATCTCGGCTCACCACAACCTCTGCCTCCCCGGTTCAAGCGATTCTTCTGCCTCAGCCTCCCGAGTAGCTGGGGCTACAGGTGTATGCCACCATGCCCCGCTAATTTTTGTATATTTATGGAAATGCCAAGAGATAGTTCAATCTGTATCTCTGGCATGCCATGGACACCAGGTCTGACAAACCCTTTTACTCCTTAAAACAAATGTTCACATGATCAATATGGGGAAATAAGCTGCATGTTACCATAACTTCTATTCTAAAAGGGAAAAGTGTCTCTTTGGTATTGCTTTGGAAAACATTATTCTTTATCTTACCATTTAAAAATTGACAATTATCCTTCCATAATTAAAACAGGTAGACAACATCCTGTGCCCTTTCATTTTTTGTAAAATGTAACCTGAAACTATTTAGCATTCTTGAAGCAACCTTTCAATAATGGAGATAGGGGTGCTTCATATCAATCAGCTGTTTTGATTTTGTGGCTAAGTTCTTTATTTTAAAAAGACTATGTAAGTTAAAAAAATTTTTTAACAATGCCCCCAAATTAAGGTGAGTGTCCCCTTCAAAACCTCCCCCACCATCTGTTTCCCAGAGGTCACAACTGAACAATTTGGTATCTCTCCAGGTAATATAATCTTCTGCAGCTTGGTTTTTATCACTCACTCTATCGTGGAGAGTGCCTGTGTGAGAGGTAATGGATCTACACCATTTTTAGTGGTCACACAGTTGAAATTCTTAAGTGCTATTCCATTAGAGATTTTTATGAGACTGAATACTCTTTCAGGAAAGTCTAATATTTAGGCCATCTTTCCAGTAAGAAATTTATAACATAAAGGATGTGTACACAGCCACCTTCCCATTTTTTTTAGGAATCAGAGTGTGAAGTTAGTTGAGACTGACCTCCAACGAAGAAGCCTGTTTTCCACAAGCACTAAGGCTTTTATGTATTTCTGATCCATGATGCTGAGAAGGTGGCTTTTCCGGGATAGAGACTAAGAACATTTAGGAAGGTGTGTTTGTAAAATAGCCCCAGCTTTATATTGAAGCACACTCTTCTCTGTCCCCTCATGTGCAATCTGAATGAATGCAAGTCAAGAAAGCAAACTAAAACTATAATTAAAAGGCACAATTACTCAAACAAACTCCATTATACTTCATAGTTTGTTCACATCATGGCTTTGATGGTATCATATATCCCATGTGCTGGGATAAAATAACTAGACTAGACCAATCAACCAGAGGCCAGTTTATTGATGATAATGAAAACTGCAATTGCAAAGAGGGCTAAAATACTCATCCTGCTGGAATATATATCCGCTCCTATAAAAAAGGTGATGTAAGTTAAAATGCTATTATAAGTTTGCTTGGTTGTTACGGAGTTAGGAGATGTGATATCTTACTCATGCTTTTTACTATAGGCACATACCTTCCAAGGAGACCAGAATAGTCCCTCTCTGCGCCCTGACCCCCCATGTCCCCACCCCAAACAGTGCTAAAGGATACACACAGTGTAATCATTTGGCTCCACTTTTCCCAGAGTTTACACGTAAACTACTTTCCTTCTGTTAAGTATCAGGCCTACAGTAGGCTCTCTCTGTCATCATACTCTGTTTTCCTAATTATAAAGCAAATGGATCATAAAGTATTTATAAACTGTTTTTCTTTTGACAACACAATTTCAGACTTACAGAAAAGTTGCAGTAGTACAAAGAATTCCCAGATCCCCTCCACCCAGATCCCCCAAAGGTTAACATTTTACCACATTTGATTTATCCTTCTCCTTCTGTCTGTCTTTCTGTCTCTCAATCTGATGGGTCAAAACTTTCTTAAAGTGACATTGTATTCTAGTCCCTCCACAGTTACCAAAATTGTTTCTTTTTCACTCTTAAAGCAAGAAGGCTGCAAAGCCTGTTTTCTTCTTCCTTTTAAGGTCATACTGGGTGAATTGTTAAGTATCATGGGAAAAATAATACTGTGGGTTACAAATAATGTCTCATAATTCTAAATTAAATTTGGCTTCTAATCTAATTCCTTATATTCTTGGTAATTTGAAAACTAGCTCTGTTGTGAATTACTAAACAGGAGCTACTCTCTCCATTTGCAGTTTTCAGTATTGCAGTAGGAGTTTCAACACAATATGCACTGATTACTTATTCTTGTAACTTTGTAAAAGCTTGAGAACAGATTGACCTCTCTTGGCTCCTAGGGGGTAACAGCTAAGGTTTATTCATTTACTTGTTTCTAGAAACATTGTATCTATTAGGATTTATGTCAAGCAACTCTATTAGATGGCTTAAAAAAAAAAAAGAAAAAAGATGTTCTCTCTCTCGCTTTTGAAGCTCCTGTAGTGAGGCACCCTGACCTCATTTGTTTTTAGATTGATGTACAATTTACAACCACCAAAGTGTGCAAATCATAAGTACAAATCATGGCTCAGTGACTACTGTGTGTGCACATCCATGTAAACATAACTGTGTCAAGGTACAGAACTTTTCCAGCTCCCAGCAGGCCTCCTCATCACTACCTCTACACAAATCTTTAAACCATATCATCCATCAATGTCTGCCATTTTTACTTCATTGAATTCCCTGTAACATGACTGTATCATGTCTTTGATCATTTTCAATTTCAGTTCCTTGGCAGGCACTTATTAGAATGACACTAGTATTTTAAGTCCTTCAGTTAATTCATAAAAGTTATTTATTATTCTTTAGTTTCTATCTTATTTTCTGGACCAGAATATTAGAAGCATGTGTTTCATCTAGAAGTCTTTTATTAGTCTGTTTGTCATCTAAATTTATAATATAGATGCCATTCCAAATCTCTGTGGCAACACAAGACCGAACCTTCAGTACTGAAATAAATGTGGCATTTATAAGGGAAGTTCTTTATCTGGAGTGCTCTCTCCCAATCTATTAACCAGAAATATAAAGTATATAATAAATAATTTAGGTATAGGTGAAAATTTCCCTGTGATAGTTTGCATTTGCCTTTTATTCTCTCGGAGAGGGAAAGGAGGAGAGCAGAAACATTTGATCTTTTATTTCCTGAAATTTCTCCAAGACAGTCTTTGCAGATTAATTTTGTCCTTTGGTTAAAATAAAATTAATGTCCCAAAGTCATTATAAAATTCTGGGTCTCCAGCCTTTCTTTAGGCCTCTGGTTCAGTATCTTGAAATAATGCAATATTTATAGTGTTATGGGAAGTTCTTTTTCATTTCTGATGTTTTTATGTTTAAGAAACTTGCTGTTATTATTATCTTCTGGTAAGTAGACACTGAAGGAAAACCCCTACTGCTGTCATCGAAGCCACATTTTCCTCCAAGACTGGCTTTAACTTGACAGAATTTTATTTCGAATGCAAAGATGCAGGCTGGGCGCATGGGTCAAGCCTGTAACCCCAGCACTTTGGGAGTCCAAGGTGGGAGGAACCTAGGACTTCGAAACCAGCTTGGCCTACCTTTCTCTTAAAAACAAACAAACAAACAAAAATTAAGAGTGGTGGCCTGCACCTGTATAGTCTCAGTTACTGGGGAGGCTGAGGCTGGAAGATCGCTTGAGCCAGGGAGGTGGAGGCTGCAGCGAGCTGCAACTCTGCCACTGCACTCCAGCCTGGGCTATGGGGCCACAGAGCAGGATCCTGTCTCAAAAAAGGTAAAGTATGTCATATCTTAATAAAAGTGCAGATTAATCACTAGGTACCAATTCATTTATCAGTGTTACACACCAAGAACAAAAGCTCTTCCTAAACTTGGGGGAGAATTTCAGGGCTTTAGGAACTTGAAAGCGTCTTCACAGTTCCTTCGAAGTCTTATTTAGGCCGGCTGTAGACCACAGGCCACAGGTCTAGAACTTGAAGCTGTCCACCAATATCTCACACACAGGACTGTTCTTAATGCACGAATACCTCTTCTCGAGCAAACTGCTTTTCCCTCTTAGATCTTGCAGCCAGATCATTTTACCGGCAAAAGTCTCAGACATCTGTGAATAAAAGCTTACATTCTTTCCTTGTCAGTAGAAAAAAGGAGAACACGAAACCATACGTGGCAAATTACAAAGAGGGATGCACTGTACGAGCTGGTAAGATTGTTAATGAGGGCAATCCAAACAGAAGAGATTTGAGCGCGAACGGAATATGGATCAGTGGTTAGAAGGTGGTGTGGGAGGGAGAAAGCTTTGTAAGCTGTGGCGCGCTTTAGTATTACTATCGGGGGGATCTAGGCAGGGCAAGAAGCGGGTGAAAGCGTTTTAGGCTTCGGTCTCCTCTCCTCGTCCTTAGCTGTCCCAGGCCAGGGCCATTCTATTCCGAGGCCATTCTATTGACCGAGGCGTAGTCAATTCCACTGCCCTAGACTTGCCCACTGAACCCATGCCCCAAACTCACCTTTCCCCGCTGCCCGGAAGCCAAGTCGCTACCACCTGCTCGAGCAACTCCCACCGCGCAGGCTCAGAAGTTGACGCTCTCCCGCCTTTCCCCGCTGCGCTACCTTCTGAGCAGGCGCAGCGACTACGATCCGTTCCCTCGCGGCGGCTCGACCCCGGTGAGGGGAAAGGCCGCTCCGCGCGTCGCGTTTTTGACCCATGACGGCGGCGCGCAGTCTGACGCGACAGATTGCGTCACTTCCGCCCCCTCCCGGGAGGCGGCGCTGGGCCGGTGGCAAGCCCCCGGAGGGAGCCGCAGTAGTACGACGGAAGATGGCGACGAGCGGCGGCGAAGAGGCGGCGGCAGCGGCGCCGGCGCCCGGGACCCCGGCAACGGGGGCGGAGACGACCCCGGGCTGGGAGGTGGCGGTGCGGCCCCTGCTGTCCGCTTCCTACTCCGCCTTCGAGATGAAGGAGTTGCCGCAGCTGGTGGCCTCAGTCATCGAGAGGTACCGGGCGGCGGCTCCGGCGGGCGACGCTGTGGGGGGGGGGAGGGGATTTCGAGCCGGATCGTCTGGACCCGCTTCCCGAGCCGCCCCCTGACCCTTGGGGATCCCCGCCCCAGCCACGAATTCGGGGTTCCCGGGTCCCGGGAGACTAGAGCTTGCCCGGGTTTCCTTCCGCCAACCCATGTAAATCACCTCTACCTCAGTTTCCCCTCTCGAGCAAAACTTTTGCGGCCTCCCTTGCGGGAGGGCGTGGCCGGGCACGGTTGAGAGTGACTTTGAGATGCATTTGCCCTCTTAAGGGAATGTTCACGGGGCTGCCCCTTGGGTCAAGTCACAGATGAGTTTGCATTTCTCGCCCGCACTCATTCCCCTAGCCTGGGCCGGAGCGGAGCCGTACGGTATAATTTAATAACGGTCTCCCCGCGGTGCTGTAATCAGTGGGGGCACGTGCTATTTCTGTGACTAAAGCCACTAGCTACCATTGATGACCTCTTTTTACGTTGCACTTCTTGTGCATTCCTACTGTATCGGTCTTTGATTAAAAACATTTCAGTGTGTGAGTCTGAGAGGTCAGTTTCCCAGAGGATGTGTGGTGTGTGTGTTCTCTCTCTGCCTCCCATCCCCCTTGCATTAAAATATCATCACATTCTTTTACAAACGGTACTATCTTTGGTTTCCTTTTGTGTGTTTTTGTCTTTTTGCACAGCGATTCTTAGCTATTGAGAGTTATTATATAGGTACACAGATGGTGATCTCAGAGTGCCTTCCTTTTCCTGACATACTGTGCTCAGAGCAGTCTTTCATTAGTTTAATGGTAGACTTTTGCTTTTAAAGCCAGACTGACTTTCATTTTTCTAGCCATACCTCATTTCAGCAACTCCCTGCAATTGTTAACTGGGTCATTTTAGCTTCATGATGACAAGGGTATATCTAGGTGCTCTACAGAGGTTAGAAATTGCTATTTGTTACTCAAAGGAGGCCCATGGTTTGACAAATTGCTTGTTTTTGTGCTTTTTGTTGTTGTTAGGCTTGTAATCCTTTGGATGCAGTTTTTTTTGTTTTGTTTTGTTTTGTTTTTGAGATAGAGTTTTGCTCTGTCGCCCAGGCTGGAGTGCAGTGGCACGATCTCGGCTCACTGCAAACTCTGCCTCCCGGGTTCACGCCATTCTCTTGCCTCAGCCTCCCGAGTAGCTGGGACTACAGGCGCCCACCACCACGCCCAGCTACTTTTTTGTATTTTTTGTAGAGACGGGGTTTCACCATGTTAGCCAGGATGGTCTCGATTTCCTGACATTGTGATCCGTCCACCTCGGCTTCCCAAAGTGTTGAGATTACAGGTGTGAGCCACCGTGCCTGACCTGTATGCAGAGTTTTTATCAAATTATAATAAAATAATGGTTGGGTTTGGTAACTTCACAGTCAGCTTTACAGATGGGTTTTCTTATCTGATCATCAGGCCAGGAATGTTCTGAAGATGTAAACAGGTTTCAAATATGCTACTTTCAAATTATGTAGCTGCTTTTTGTTTTAAACGTTTGGATTGGCAGTATTTTTCCTGACTCATACTCATGTTATGTAGAATCAGTAACGTTCCAGTCTTTTTAGAACATTTGCTTTTATGTTTTTCTGGACATGAGCTGGATAGCTTATAAAGTATTAATAATTTGTTGATACCCTTCCGTAAATCCTGTATTTGGGGGCCATGCCTTTAAAGCTGTAATACTTAAGGAACACCCTCCAACCAAATACATCACTGGGTTTGAATTTTGCTATATATGTGGTAGTGGTCTCTGCCATACCGTCTGTTTGTACAGATAATCAAGAGTTGTATTTGTAGATGTTAATAAGATCTCTCTTTATGGTTTAGAAAATAAGTCCAAACTGATGGCTCTTTGGTAATGCATTTATTAGAAGGCAAGATCTCTCTTTTTTTTTTTTTTTTTTTTGAGATAGAGTCTTGCTCTGTCACCCAGGCTGGAGTGCAGTGGCGCTATCTCAGCTCACTGCAAGCTCCACCTCCCAGGTTCACACCATTCTTCTGCGTCAGCCTCCCGAGTAGCTGGGACTACAGGCACGTGCCACCATGCCCAGCTAATTTTTTGTATTTTTAGTCGAGACGAGGTTTCACCGTGTTAGTCAGGATGGTCTCTATCTCCTGACCTTGTGATCCACCCGCTTCAGCCTCCCAAAGTGCTGGGATTACAGGCGTGAGCCACTGTGCCTGGCCGGAAGGCAAGATCTTTTAAGTCTTCTGGTTTTTGGAGCTCAGTTAACTTTGAAAGCCTATGTGTCCTCTGCAGGCTGTGTGAGAGGAGTATGATCTAAAGAAAAATTTCCGTAAGAAATACCTGGCTTACAAGTTCTTTACAGTGAGAACGGCTAAACGTATCAAGTGTTCAGTTTGTTATAAAGCAGGGGTCGGCAAACGTCCTGTAAATGGCCAGATAGTAAATAATTTTGAGACATGTGGTCTCTGTGTGGAGTGCTCAACTCTGCCATCATTGTGTGAAAACAGCCACACACCATACATAAATGAATGGGCATGGCTGTGTTTAAAATTGTGTCTGTGGGCAGTGAAATTTGAATTTCATGTGATATTTACATGTCACAAACTATTCTTTTGATTTTTTTTTTTTCAACTGCTGTTAGCCATACAAAAACAGCTGACTTTCTGGATTTGGCCTGCAGACCATAGTTTGCCAACCCCTAGCTTGGAGCACACAGATTATACCCTGCTATCATTATTCTGATTTTCAAAGGATTTATTTATTTATTTATTTATTTAGAGACAGAGTCTTGCTCTGTCGCCCAGGCTGGAGTGCAGTGGCATGATTTTACCTCACTGAAACTTACGCCTCCCAGGCCCAAGTGATTCTTGTGCCTCAGCCTCCCCAGTAGCTTGGATTATAGACGTGCACCACCAGACCTGGCTAATTTTTGTATTTATAGTAGAGATGAGGTTTCACCATGCTGGCCAGGCTGGTCTTGAACTTCTGACCTCAGGTGATCCGCCTGCCTTGGCCTCCCAAAGTGCTGGGATTACAGGCATGAGCCACTGCACCCGGCCCAAAGGTTTTATTTACTTGTCTTTTCAAAAAGTAAAGGTCTCAGAATTGTGGGAGTATGTCTTGCTTAGGAAGCTGTAGTACCAGATCAAAGCCAACACTGTAGATGCTGAGGTGGTCCTTGTTTTCTAGCTAATCAGAGGTTGAGACGTCTAGGCTGCTACTTTAGTTCTGTGCTTGCCACTCCCATCTTCTGCAGTTTCCTGGTTTCTTTCTCTTGTTAAGCCTGCCATGTTTTTTCTTCCTTGTCACCGGGGACCATCTGTTTTTCTGTTGCAGTCTACTATCTGCTTCCGTTTTTGATATCCTGGCTCCATCATGCCAGCTATTACTTTCTACCTGGTAGCCTGCTTATCCATTGTATTTGTCTCTTGACTATTGAGAACGATGATGTGCTCAAGACGCCTCAGTACACCACATTCTACCTTTTTTTATAGTTGAAATTGACCTTTTGAAGAAAAGGTAAACGTTCCTAGGTCTAACCCCTATTTCTTAAGTTTGACTTTGCAACTAAACTGAAACAGAGGAGAAATAGATCAACATGGATAAGTTGGAAAGCATACTCTCAAGTCATTAGATTTTTTAAAAGAAAAAGATATCTGAATTTATTTAAAGGGAAGATTTTTTCCATAGCATGTAGCTAGCTAGCGTGTCTTAAAAAGACTACTAAAATATTTTTTCTTTTTTAAGAGACAGGGTTGGCCGGGCACAGTGGCTCACGACTGTTATCTCAGCACTTTGGGAGGCCAAGGCGGGAGGATAACCTGAGGTCAGGAGTTTGAGCCAGCCTGGCTAACATGGTGAAACCCTGTTTCTACTAAAAATACAAAAAATTAGCCACGCGTGGTGGCATGCGCCTGTAACACCTGTAATCCCAGCTACACGGGAGGCTGAGACAGGAGAATTGATTCTGAACCCAGGAGGCGGAGGTTACAGTGAGCTGAGATCGCACCATTGCACTCTAGCTCGGGCAACAAGATAAAAACTCCATCTAAAAAACAAAACAAAAGAAAACAATATGGGATCTCCCACTGTTGACTGGAGTACAGTGGGACAATTATAGCTTACTGTAGCCTCAAATTCCTGGGCTCACGGGATGCTCCTACTTCAGCCTCCTGAGTAGCTACAGTAACTAGCTAGACTACCGGCTCCCACCACTAGGCCCAGTTTAAACTCTTTCTAACACTGTTACTTAATAGGTAGTTTAAAGAACATTTTAAACACACTGTTACTTTTCCAAGCCAGAAATGGAGCAGAACTAGCTCAATGGAGCACATGCCGTCTATGGGATTAGTTAGTATAATCATTGCTGAATGTAGCCTTCTGTGTTAAGGTATAGATAATTCCTTTCTGAACTCTGTGCAAGATAGGCTGGTGAGCATGGTTATCATTGGACAGCTTGACTGACTCTTTGTAGATAAAAAGAAATATGCTCCTTCTCTCTGAGCCAATTCTTTCTGGGCTGACCTGGCCTTTTAAATGATAAACCTGTTCGAGGTTTCTGTTTCCAGATGTTTGCTAGAATTTAAGGGCAAAGAGACCTACTTTGGAAGGGGGAGACTGTTACAACATTTCCACCAGATAATGCACAGTAATTTCCTAAAAATCTTGAAGGGAAGAAA